GGTACGGGACGGACGGCCGGACCGACGTAGTTGTCGGGACGGTAGGGTAGGTAGTAGTAAGTAACCGTACCGTACGTCTACGTCGTCTACGTGTCGTAGCCTCCCTCCTCTCTCTCTCTCTCTCTCTCTCTCTCAGGACTGGTTTTAGTGAAACAATAACCAAGTGCCTGCTCTCTTCATGCTCGTTTCTCTATCAGCACACCGTTTTCTTTATCCTTCTCTCCCTCCACGAGCATCTCTCTTAGCACATGCATCACTTTCGTCACTGTTATTCTCTCTCAATTTTCTCTCACTACAAAATGAAAGATAAACACACTACTTATTTTATGTTTGAGATTGAAAATGTCTTCTTTGTTTTATGATTTTACTTCATAGATCGATGAGGGAATTTCGTTTTAACTTCTCTCTAAATTTATGCATTATTCTCTCTATTTAAAGATTTTGTTAAATTTACGGGAGAATTGATATTTTTGTATGTGTGTTTGAAAGAATCCGAGTATTCCAGCCTGAAACTGTTTATGGTGTTTGAAATTGGATTCTCTTGGTATTCTTCCGAAATTTTCCCCATGAATTTCAATGAATTGAGGCAGGGTCTGTGTTTTATCTTGCTGTGAACGGATTAAAAGCTGTATTTCATTATATTCATGGAGCCACTCATTAATATAGGCTTCTTTGAGCATGCGTGGGTCGCCCCTTTTTATTATTTTCCTGACCAGGCTCTCAATTTTGAAGCCTCAAGAGCCAAAATCAAAATTGTAACAAGAAATATTGGGATTTCGTTTCCTTGTTTTCTAGTGTAAATGCAGAAGGCCTCAGAGTTTGAATTCCCTAGTTGAAAGATTAGTGAGAAATAGTTGCGGATTTTGATTTTCTGTTTCTGGGGATTGCTTTGCATATCTAATTAGTTGTGATTCCATTTTAGTAGTTTCTTTTGTTGCCAATGATATACCTAATTCCGGACATTAACTTTGTTCAGCTACTTCTTTTTCTTCTGGGCATCAGGTACCAGTTCGTCTGGATTGGGGAGGGTGAATCTCTTAGTCCCATATGCAAGAGTGACATCCATCCCTTTGAATGATAATGCCCTGTCCTAGTGTCACCAAGGCTGATGCCCAATACCCCTACAGTTGCAATGCTACTCTTGAATACTGTCACTGCTTGACATGCCCATGTTCCAACTTCTAGCTTCTTGTCAATCACTTCTTTTTCCAAGTTGTTTTCTGGCTTCAAGTACCCTGTTAATGCTTTTTATTTGAAACCAAAAAAAGGATCATTTGAGTTTCAAAGTGAAAGCCTAGATGTTTGGAATTATGAGTGTCACACCATGGTTTGGTGGTTCTCAACCTAAATTACAATTACAAGAAATAAGGTACACAAGTGATGATGTTATACATCATGGGATTCGGAGAAACTGAACTGCCATTGAGTTAATGAGTACTAGAAGAATGCCTGATATGATAGTTTGTCTGTATTATTTATCTCATATTCATCTGATGCAATCGAAGATAGTTTAAAGTTTGTCTGCTGTTCTCATATTCCATCTGATGCAATCCAACAGTGTACGACCCTTTTCCTCCCAGATGCAATGGTGCCTTTTAAAATGATTTTTCACAAAGATTTGTGGAATCCAATTATGCTTAGTTTATTTCCTTCCAAAATCGTGTCCCATTCAAGGGAATCCTTTACATGTGGAAATGGGACGAGAAAGTTTAAGTTGCAGGGTTCTAACATAATCAGGAAACATTCTTTTCTGTCTAAACGTGAGATACAGTTTGTGAACGACAACATCAGAAGAATGGTGTCAATTTAGATTCCTCTTCCCTGAAGCAATCGTCTTTGAGCTTTATAATGCTTCTCACTCAGTTCTAGGTGCTAATAAGCTTAACATGATGATCTTTTGCATTCTCAGTGTCTTTGGTTTATCATTTTTGTAGCTTTGAAGAAGGCTATCCTATAGAGAGCATGAAATTATTCTTCACAACAGGATTGTGGTGATGACTCCTCAATATTGGATGGTGCAAATTTTTTGCACATCTGAATATCAAAACAAACAATTCTAGAATTTTGGATACAGCTCTAGTAGCCTGAAGTTTGAAATAATAATTTATACCCAGCTTGAGATTCATGGTGTGCGTTAACAGGATGAAGCTTTGGAGTTGCTCAATTTCGAGAGTCCCATAAGGAGAACCTCATAACAATTTGCTAAAACTTACTAGGGGTGATGGATGGTTTGAAGCATACTTTCTGGGATAGATTCTTGCTTCTCCAGTTGTCAGTTTGAGAGATGGTGGTACAGTTCATAGAATTATTATATTTAAGGTGTACATTGTGCTGTACTAGTTATTATGATTTGTCTTGATGTCTGGGGTCAGAGACATTTTAGCCAGTGTACTTGAGTGAGTTTGTCTCTCTATCACATACAGGCACCAAAGTCAATCCTGAACCGAGAATTTGCAGTTTTGATGTTTAAAGATGAGTGTACAGTGAAACTGGAGACCCAAGAATCATATAACTTGGCTATGGACTGTCAGAATCACATTTGTGAACTTCCTGAAATCTGAGAGCTATGGAGCCTGATGTTGCTAGGGACAATTGGTTCACTCTTATCTATTCTTTCGGATGAGCTGGTATTTCATGGACTGATGAGGATCATAATTTCTTTGTAATCAAAATTTTGAAATAGATTGCTTCAATATTTTATAGGATGAAAGAATCCTCCATTAGACCTTTATCCGATGACATTTCCTGCCTCGCTTTGCTCCATAAGTTGGAGAGTTATTTTTGGTTTTTAACATCATTGTAGAAGGCATTAGCCAACTCAGCAGAGATTAGTTGTCCCCATGGTGTTTCTGTTGTCTTAATATTGGACACATAATCAATGATCACACTAGCATATTGTGAGCTAAAAGTAGATGACTTCGATGTGACAATAGAGAAACCCTGGTTATGAGTGAGATCGAAATAATGCATCAGGCCAAACAATTACTTGCACCTCAGAGTTTCATTTGGTTGAGCTATTGCATCTGTTCTGTCTCTGTTAAGAATCAATCAACTCCCATTAATTCTGTCAAATATGATCTGATCCCCTTAATCCTTTGTTGACAAGGGGTTAGTTTCGTAAAATCATAAAAACTTCTATCTAGGTGATCAGGTTTTTCTTTTTCTTTTACTTTCTTTGGGATTATTTCCAAGTTGATTGCTTATGGAGCTACAAGTCACATGATTGTGAAAGATCATTCGTCACTTGTTGTAAACTAGTCAATTCATGTATGCTATTACATGTGGCAGATTGACATGTTGCTTCTCGGTGGGTTCTATCAGCTCTAGCCCATAAATTTATGGAAACCACTTAACCTTCAAACCATTGCTTACGTTCCTTAACTTTCCTTGAGTGTTCTTTAAAGGCCAAATAATTGACAATGGTTGCGGTAATTATATTTTATCAGATGATTTCTTTGCAATTTTTGGAATCCGAGATTGACTAAAAACCTTCTTCACAAGAAAAGGGCATACTATGTCAAATCACTTGAGCGCATCTATAGATTTTGTCATCAATTTCTTGCAGTTCATATGTCTGCAGGAACATTTCATTTTGTCTAATTAGGTCATCAAAATCTTAAAGCCATGGATTAGATGAAAATTTTATACACGATTACTTGCGTTTCCTCCAAGCAGACTATTGTGTGGTACAAGTTATAGGTCTTAAGCAGGTCTAAGGCACAGTTACATTGATTTAAAAAAATAGAATCAAGAGAGGCTTCCAATGGGGTGATAGTGATTACTCTGTTCGTTTGCTCAACAAATGCTGGCTTTTTACTTTACCGATTTGTGTTGATCAAATTTATTAATAGTGGGGATGAATCTGAAGGGGGGATTGCTTATTAAATAGGAGCTGTGGCAAGTTCAGATGAAGGGCCTGGTTCCATGTGGGTACTTCATAAATGTGGACAGTGCATGTTAACCACAAGGTTGTTCTTAGGTTGATCTTACTTAATGAACATATACTTAAGGCAATTGGTGGAGGATATCTAACTGATAGTAAAAGGGTACGTAAACCCTAAACTGGAAGTTTTATTCTTATAACTAACTGATAGTAAGAGGGTAAGTACACCCTCAAACTGGAAGTTGTATTCTTATATCGATGAAATAGTGGATAACACGGTGCAGTATTGACAGTTATAGGGTATTCTCTTGTTTATCTATCTGCTACTCAACATGTCATCTACTTTGTTAACTCATATGTCAATTAAGGTAACATTATTTACAAGCAATGGTAAGAAATGAAATATGATTCTCCTCATCATTGTGCCTTCACTTGTGGGCACATGTAAATGTTGACTGGTGGGATGTCAGCACCAGGTAGTTGAATTATAGAATGTTACAAGTTTTTCGGTTCCTATTTAGTCTATTGGTGAGCAAGAATTAGGATGCACTTTCAAAAAATCACAGCTAAACCAGAATATAAGGTAATTCTACGAGCATTGAGATGATATGGTTGCATGCACTACTTCATGAACTAGGTTTTGAGTTGGTGTCTGTAACCTTATTTTAGTAATAAAAAGGCAGGTTTTAATGGGGTTTGTTAGACATCGAGTGAAACTGATAAAGGCTGACGGTGACTTCTTTTCAATTTCAGTGCCATATCCACTGAGTTTTGTCAAGTGGATCTTCTGACTGGACCTTCTTAGCGGATAACTACAACTCAACAAGAATTCATGATTGACATATGGTCATTGATCAATCTCTGTGGATGATAACCGAAAATGGTTCGAAGAATATCAATTGTACTATATGATAACTTTCCTGAAAGCATATTGGGTACATTTCTTTGTTGTGCATCATTTGAGGAAATGTACAAAATTGTATGTCACTTATGCATGAGGTGGTTATCATATTGGTGCAACTTTCAAGCAGTGCAGACCTATATAAGAATAATTTTTACATGAGCCATAAGGGCTTAGTTTTTCAGTACTGAAAATACCTTTTCGCATAGTTTCACAGTTTGATATTTAGAACTTGTAATAAATAATTCTTCTAACTATGAAAGGAAAAGCATGATTCAGGATATTAAAATGCAGGAACGAATGATATCGAAACTTTGTTATGATTTGATATCTCATCAATCATCTGTAGGATTCAGATTAGTACTTGATTCCATAACCTTTTCAACGAGGACTTTGTTTGGGGTGTTCCCTGGGACGAACGTTGTTATTGGACAGAACTCTGGATTTGAAATTGATCCCATTTCACTAAGAATCTGATGAATTGTTCGTTCATGATATATGTTCCAGTTCATCGCTTTGTGAAAAGTGTACTCAGACCTACATATCCAATTTTGGCATGAATCCCTGATTAATATGAATTGTAAAATTTTCCTGGAATAACATGTATCGTACTTTAGCTACGTTCATTACACAGATTGATCCCACACAGTTAATTACACAGATTGATCCTACCAACGATTGTTCTAAGTTTGGCTTTTATGTTTTCTGCAACAACATGAGAATCGGTTAGGTAGCTAATCTTTCTTCCTTGTAGCCTCTAAAAATACCTCCATGTCAGGCTTTTCCCAATATGCAGTTTGAGGCATCCTCAGTTTTAATGTTGATTTCTAGACAGTGTACCATGCCCTGATATTCTTGGACAGACCATACCACTGGGTGTTTGGGACCATATCTGTAACTTCTGTCAGCCATTTCAAGACACATCAATTGTTTCCGATGATAATTTTGTGTTTTGAGATCTCTAAATTTTCCAAACAAGATATAAGAAATTGTTAGCGGTGTAAAACACCAGTTCACAAATTTTCCAGCTTGCATAATAAATTCTCTACTCACAGAGGACCTTTTAATATTCTACCGTCAAAACCATCTAGGTACAATATTAGCTAGATGAAACTTTCTTATTTGCCTTTTAACTTTTGGCAAATTGAATATCTAGATGCAAGGAACACCACTAACTTTCGTTGAAAGATTCATGAGACTTTTCCATGAAAATGGAGCATGTCCGGGGTCTACTTGGAATTGGAATATAGCAAGGAGCCCTTATCCATTCTACTGGTATTTATTATGATTTTCTTTAGTGATGTCCAATTTTTTCTTTTATTATTTCTCTATCAATGTTTCCATTGACCAATACAGAGACCATAATTTGACTGTATCTAACTGTTTACAAAACCGAAAAGCTATTCATATATTACATGGTTAAGGGTTTGTCACTGGTTTCTTTCTTGAATTCGCAATTTAGTGACTGTAGTACTTGCAGAAAGGACAAAAAGTGTAAATAAACAACACGAGGCCTTATTTCTTATATTATATAACATTTATGAGAATTATTCAATCCTAACTCTGTTCTTCTATGTTGTCTAGACACATTATGTTTTATTGCTTTGCTCATTCAAAGAGCAACTCCAACAACATGTTCGTGTCCATGCCATGGAAGCCGTAATGGCTTGCTGGGATCTGGAGCAATCTCTACAAAGCTTAACAGGTTAGTCTAGAAATCTATTTAGTTTTCAATGGGATTTATTTCTGAGACATAGATCAGGGTATTGTATTCTTAATGCATAATATTGCTATTCCGATTATGCAATCCTGCCTCATGTTTCCATAACTTTGGTTATTTATATATTGTTTGTGATCTTTCAAATTATTTGTTTGTGACCTGAGTATGTAGTTAAAAGATTGAAAAACTTATTGGTTTCATATTGAAAACATATTTTCATGATACTGGAAGATACATCACAGGATTTCATAGTATGGTGATGTCTTGCTTCAATGCTGGCAACTGTTACTTTTATTTATATATTGTTTGTGACCTGAGTATGTAGTTAAAAGATTGAAAAACTTATTGGTTTCATATTGAAAACATATTTTCATGATACTGGAAGATACATCACAGGATTTCATAGTATGGTGATGTCTTGCTTCAATGCTGGCAACTGTTACTTTTATTTATATATTGTTTGTGATCTTTCAAATTATTTGTTTTTGACCTGAGTATGTAGTTAAAAGATTGAAAAACTTATTGGTTTCATATTGAAAACATAATTTCATGATACTGGAAGATACATCATAGGATTTCATAGTATGGTGATGTCTTGCTTCAATGCTGGCAACTATTACTTGATCTTGAAGAGGTTGAGTAATGTACTCGCTAATTCTCAATGAGAATGACTTCTCAATACGTGAAAGTATAGGAAATTTGAATTAGGAGTAGAGAGTAGTAATATGTGAAGAATTATGTGTTGAAATATGTGAAGAATTCTTTCATGTTTTGTGTGCTCGGAGATCGATGATTATTATTATTATAGTGTCTTTTTCAAACATCATGTGGGGAACATGTTCTTTTAGTGTTAGATCTCAAGGCTTCTCTATTAAAGAATCTGAAATCAAGAATTTAGGATCTTTTATCGAAAACAAAGAAATATCTTTATAAATTCATGTACGTTTTTTGATCCATAAAGAGCAACCCATCTCAAAATCATTTTGAAAGTTGGCCTGTCTTGTTCTAGTTTTCCTTTGCTTGCATGGAGGAACCAATAAAATTTGGACCCGAGTGGTTTTGATGTTTAACTGAGTCGACCCTCATACATTATATCTATATTCTTTGTTGAAACTTGTCCTAGCATTCCTAGTTTGAGATTGTTAGATCCGTCAATCTCTCTCTCTTCCTTTTTTTTTTTTTTCATTTCCACAGGCTCCGAATATTTGTGAAAATATTTCTGTTCGACTTTGAGCAATATGTCGCCAACTTTATCCAAGGTGCTCTCTCCAATAAGGGATACTAAAACTGCTAAAACAGAATAGAAATGATTTGTAGTTTCATCAGTGTGGTCGTGGACATTTATTGTCTCACATCATATAACAAAGGGGGGTCATATTTTGACTCGTTGATATTAATGATGCTTATACCACCACAATTGGTCTCAGTATTTTCAGTGCTTCCATATATTATGATGATTTTCTGTTGTGCTTGGTAGGGTAATTTAGGAGCATAATCACTGGGATTGGTTAATGGGAAGCATAGCCTGTGACCTTTACTGAGTTCATACATACCAGTGCATCCAGAGTCATAAACATCTATGATATTTTTTGAAAATTCGTTATTCCTGACTTATTATCAGAGGTTTTGCTGATCTTTCCTTGTTTTCTTACCGAAAAAAGAAAAGAAAGAGGATCTTGAGTTTTTCATCTCTCAAGTAACAACTGAGATATTTAATTGACTCATCCCACCGAGATACAGTTTCACACCAATGTTATTGTACTGAGAACCTCTTCTCTAGCGTATTGGTTCAATTGACAATTTCTAGGCTGTAACTTTAAGGTGCAAAATTTCCATTAATGGATTAACTCTGATAAAAGTGTCTGTTTAATGAGATTCAGATCAAACTTTGAGGATTGGCTTAACCCCACTAGTAGAAGAAGAATGAGAAAGTTAGTGGCCAAATTGACAAAATGAGATTCAGAGTAAACTTTGAGGATTGGCTTAACCCCACAATTAGAAGAAGAATGAGAAAGTTTGTGGTCAATTTTAAACATAGAAGTTTGGTTATTAGGAGCAATGACTCTGAAAGGTCAAGTTGCAAATGATTTGAATGAATGGCAGTTTTTGCAAATTTCTGATTCACAAAATGACTGTGGGCTACATGTGCTAGTTCCCAAATTAATTATATTCGCCTGCCAATTGACCCTACTGCTTAGAGTCTGATGGAGGTACGATAAAGTCGAGAATAAACTAGGAGGCGCAGAACCAGTACTGAATCTGTTTAAAATTTATGTGATGTGTTTAATGATTGTGTTACTAAGACTACGACATAGAGTGTCATGTCTAGTCGTCTAGATAGTGTCTAGTAGTTTCGTTTAAAAATCCAATATGGCAAGAAAGGGACGATAATTATTATTTGAGAAAGTAATAGATTTTTAAAGTATATATAATAAAAAATTTGTATTTGTTACAATTGAATGTGGGTGGCGTAATGGTGGAATCCATTGGTGGCGTAACGGTGAAATCCATTAACTTGGCACTAGATGTCATAGGTTGTCAAACCTCATCTTTTGTACTGAATAATTGTTTAATGTTCCTTGTGTCTCCAAGTGTCTACATGTGATGTGGCTACCAAAATGGGGTGCCTGGGTAACTTTGGTTTGTATTTGAAAGCTTATTGATGTTGTTCTCTGGTCAGGTTTACACTGACAGAACGAAAACTTAGCGTCATTAAACCAAGGTTCCACGAGTCCCATGTCAATTTTTAGCGCAGTTAAACCAAGGTTCCATGAGTCCCATGTCAATTTTTACACCAAGCTTTCGTTCACGAGTGGTTGACCTCACTCAGCTTTGTTAAAATGTTGCATTATTCTAGGTTTGGATCTTATGATTTTCCTTTGTAATTTACCATGAAAATGGAAGATGATTTGGATGTGTGGTCTGTTTGGATTGATGTAGATTCACATCAGGATTTCAAGGAGTTGGATTGAAATCCTACAGTGTGGGTATGTTTGTCTATTCCTTGTTTGGCTCTCTATTGTGCTCTGAAAGGTTTGTAAAAGAGGGGATTTATTTTATTAGAAGATTCCTTTGAAAAGGCAGAGGACAAAATGCATGCTATAGAAGAACCATTGTGCTCTGAAATTTTTGTAAAAGAAAGCACTAGAAGATTCCTCTGAAAAGGCAAAGGACAAAGTGCATGCTACAGAAGATAGGTTGAATAGTGAAGGCTTGTCAATATCGGTATTCATAGAAATATCGGGAAAGGTTGATTAGTGAAGGCTCTTTGCTACCTTTATTTTTTTAACAAATTTTTTGATCTTTTTTTTTAGGTTGGCGAATCCAGGTGGACTCCCCCGAGTTACTCGGCTCCGGTAGGGCACGAGTCCTGAGCCTGAGTCTGAGCTGAGTTTTTGAACCTTGTGCATGTGTGTGCGTGATCGACTACATCTGTTTATATATAGTTTAATATGCATCGAGTACATGCACAGGATTAGATACTAGTGTATCCATATGCAGTCTAGGATTTCAGGAAATGCTATGTTATATCCTTGGTCCCCGTATTTGTTTTTATATCTATGCATCTTAGGTTTCAGTGCCCATTCTCAGTGGAAGTGTCCTATATATTTACAGAAAAAATAATTCAGTGATAAAAAAAATTTAATCTCCTAATTTACGATTTAGTGCTTGATTTTTTTTTCCCTCCGTCTTGAAATGTGTAAATTTCTAAATGTTACACTACTTTGAAATACCAATTTAGGGGACTCCAATGTAAAATTCGTAATTGGGAAAGAGATGTGAGAAGTTGGTGCGTTTCTTTATTTCTATTAAGCTATATATAACAATATACAGCTGGTATAAAATATGCACAACAATATCCCTTGATTGTGGGGATGATGAATAATAAATCTCTACAAACTAGAAGGTTACAAATATGACCAAGTGGATCTCTATCAACTAGGAAAGTAGATATGGCCAAATCAATCTCCCCAAACCAGGAAAGTCCTAGTGAATCTCTACAATTAGGAAAGTGAGTTATACAATCCTCAATATCCAATGCATACTTTCCTTAGTTGATTTTAAGTTCTTATTGAAACTTCATAAGTTTATGACTACACTTGGAACCATCTTCTATGAAGTTCTAGTAGGCCAGATTATGTTGTCTTTAATTGTGGCACCCTCCAGTTTCTGACGCAACTGTTTGCCCCAAGTTCCTTAAACAGATATGTTCCTTACTGCAGTTGACTTGTGCACCACCACGAATAAGTTGCTTGCATGTGTTTACTTTTTCTTGTGACGTTATAGTCCCAAAAATAGTAAAATTAAAATGTAATATTGGAAGTGAATATCATTAAAAATGGAATGCTTGGTCATTGGAATACAACTCACTTGTCAGTCTTATGACTTATATTTTTGTTGGTACAGTTCAGAAATAGGAACAAGTTTGTGAATTCATGTTCCTTAAAATTGCAAAAGGAAGACCACTTGAAGGTTGAATAAGACTGAACTGGACGAGTCATATTTATGTGCCCTGCCAAAAATATTGGGAGAATTTTGATGATAAATGATTAATAAAAGACGAAAGATAGAAACTTGAAGATGTTCAAGTAGCGGTTGCATTATATGGCTCCTATATATGGGATTCTCTAGTACTACTATGCAACTTCTATGGGCACATATATTGTTAGTTTTTGATATCAGGTTTGCCTTTAAAAATGAATACTGAACCAATGGGTTGCATAAGCCAAGCATCAATTCTGGAAATTTCAAAATTGACATTGTAGTAAGACTCTAGAATGCCAAGAATGGAATCTATCCATTAGTTTACAATGAAATCGATGTTTTCTGCACATAACTATGTCCAGTTGGTGTATCATTTATTTAAGGCACGAAAACACGCCTAAGTGAACAACTATCTTACGTTTTGTCCCTTTTCAACTATTCCAACTCATGGTCATGTGTATTTTGATGGGTTTTTGAAGTTCAATCCAAAGAAATGGGTAGAGTATTAAATAATTCATCTCTTAAGTGCTTTTTGATAAATTTCCTTTTATCTAAAAATAAAATATGCATTCTCATCCATTTATTTCCATGCCTAAATGGGCTGAAATTGTTTTCCATTACACAGGTGTTTCTCCAGGGGAAGGGACAGGTGCAACCATGTCAGATGATGATGATGACCAGGCAGATAGCGACACCAACTTGTATGAGGGAAGCCTAGATGGCCAGGATACCATGGGATTTGGACCCCTTATTCCAACAGAGAGTGAGCGCTCCTTGATGGAGCGTGTTAGACAAGAGTTGAAGCATGAATTGAAACAGGTAGAATCTGCGTCACATTTCAAAGTATTTGTATACAATAAAAGGTGTTGACGTTTGTGAAATTACTTCAATATCACCCTTTAGTCAAGGAATTGGATCTGGGCTTAATTGGTTAGTAGTTGCATCATGTCTTAGGTTCCATCCTACCGATGACTTTAACCCCCCTCCCCCCCCCAAAAAAAGAAAAGCACCTTTCAGTCTGATGTCAATGGTGGCTGCATGTGACATTCCTCCACTCAAAGTCCACTTAAATTAGTTTAGGAAACTTCAGTTTGCTCTTAATGAATACATTTCCATATGTGAAAACGTATGTTGGAAACTATTCTATAGTCCTAGTGAGCTATGGAAAACAAATATTGGGTCATTACAGAAATGCATATATATATATATATATGAAAATGTATTAGCCCAATAGCCCAGATTGAATTTGGGTCGATCCAATGGCCGCCATTGCATTTCGTATTTTAATTTTAATTGTTTCTATAAATCTAAATTGCTTGAAATTTTGATCGTCTATTTTTTAGAAATAGGTAATCTAATAAAACTATCAAAATAATAATTCTCAAAAATTAAATTGATAAAAATGCTCCCAAAACGTTTCAGAGGTATTTTGGTCATTGTTTTTTGCAAATTATTTTTTTAATATTTTTATTAGGTGCGTCTTGATGAGAAAATTTGACATCTAAAATTTCATGTGATTTGGATATGTACAAAAAATATTAAAATTATAATCCGAAATGAAGTTATGATCGTCAGATTGGCCCAGATTCAATCTGAACAGTTGCGTTAACACTGTAGTCGTTAGCTAGAGGGCTAACCTGAGATTCTCACATATATATATATATATATATATATATATATGGGTGCGGTTTCCATAAGGTTGCAACCTTAAACAATCCATTTAAGGCGCTTATCTCAAAATCTATTTTCATATCTAAGTATAAAATTTTTAACTCCAAAAATGATTAAAATCAAGTAGATCTATAAACATATAAAAATCTTTAAAATGGGCTGTCTAGATAATGTGTTGTAAGATGCACCATTTCTGAGACTAAAATCTTTGTTTTTCATAATCATACATCTCAATGTCGAGATG